AGCTTCAGTGCAGGGTATACAAATACCGCCTCCGAACAACCGCCACTTTGGCCCATACATAGATTCGATTTGAAGTCTTCAACCAACAGACTCTATTGACCGAAGACTTGGGGGACTACATTATGTACCATATATTGGGCCTTAACTGGGCCTCATAAAAAATACTTAGGCAACTTAGCCCATTATTTATGTACTGATGAGCGAACCCTTATTCTATAAAAGGGACTCCCTCACTTTCATTAGAGAGCACCCATTATTTATGTACTGAGGAGCGAGCCATCGTTTTATAAAAGGGACTCCCTCACCTTCATTAGAGAGCATCGCCACCAGTTGAGCAACCGCTTTGCCGCGAGCATCACTCATAACCCATTATTCATGTACTAAGAAGTGAGCCCTTATTCTATAAAAGGGACTCCCTCACCATCATTAGAGAGCATTGCCGCCTGCTGAGCAACTGCCTCGCCGCGAGCATCAACTCTATCATTTATGTATTGAGGAACGAGCTCTTATTCTATAAAAGGGACTCCCTCACCTTCAACGCCACAAGTCGAGCCAACCAAGGCAACATAAGCCACAAGCAGAACAGCCTCGCAACACGTGCTACTTCTAGTTGAGCATCAGTTCAGATTGGGCACCGCCTCATATCAAGTATCAGTTCTAGACAACATCTAGTTACTTCGGCCCATACATGGACTGAATTTCAAGTCTCCAGCCAAAAGACTCTCTTAACTGAAAACTTGGGGGACTACTGTTTATACCATACTTAGGGCCTCAGTATTTAGACCTCGTATAAATACTCGATGGACTCAAATGTAATTATGTAATAAATGGAGGGGTAAATATGTAAAAAGGGGAGGAGCCCTTATTCTATAAAAGGGCCTCATCACCCTCACAAACCCTAAGCCTCCTCACATCCCCTAAGCTCTAAAGCTCTCTCAAAGCTCTCACTCTCATATTCAGAGCTCTCTCTCCCTCAGAAATACAGTAATCAGTATGGACGTAGCCCAAACATTGAGGTGAACCACGATACATCTTGTGTTATTTACATTCTTGCAGATTCACGGTTAGATTTACATTGTTCCAAGACCCTCCGATTTTGTGCATCAACAGGTTTAGTAGTGATTGAATCAGATTGTGCTTCTTCAATGTCTGGTATCACAGTAATTGAGCTTTCTTCCAACATTGGATTATTAATGCTCTGAGGGAGTGGAAACATTTCAAACAGTTCATTCTCCTAACTTGTAGTATTCCCTTTGTGAGTAAAATAAGGACAATCTTCTTCAAACTTCACATCCCTTGACACAATGAACTTTTTTGTGGCTGGATTGTAGCACTTATATCCTTTTTGGGTGGAAGAATACCCCATAAACACACACTTGGTTGCCTTGGCATCTAATTTGTCACTGTTCAAGGCTTGAATGTGAACAAAGCAAACACATCCAAATACCTTGAGGTGTGTCAAATCAATTTTTCTACCCTTGAGAACTTCATAGGGAGATTTAAACCCTAGCACACGACTTGGGAGTCGGTTGATGAGGTAAGTGGCAGTGAGGATAGCAAATGACCAAGTGATCTCTATTTTTTCTCTCTGCTACTCCATTTTGTTGTGGAGTCCCTACACAGCTAGTTTGATGTATTATGCCCTGAGAACTTATGTATTGAAGCATGTTGTTGGACAAAAATTCAATGCCATTATCGAATCTCAACACCTTAATGTCTGATTGAAATTGTGTTTTAACATGCATATGAAAGTCTTTGAAAATAGTTTGGACTTCACTCCTTGATTTCATAAGGTACACAAAACTCATTTGAGAGAAGTCATCAACAAATAAGACAAAGTACTTAAACCTTTTTATTGATTCAGTTGCTGGTCCTCATAGTGCACCATTTCAAAAAGTTTACTTGTCCTAGACATTGAATTGGCAAAAGGTAGTCTAGTAAACTTAGAAAATTGACAAGTATCATAAGTAACATGAGATTTACAAAAATTAAGAAACAATTTAGGCAAAGTTGATTTTCATCAATGGACTTTGATTGAGCTTGAAGGGCCTGAGTAAAACAGGCATTCTTGCATATGTAGTAAGGTCCATTTATGAAGACCCCTTCAACAATTATCTTCATGGTGAGAACATCCTAAAACATCACATTATCTGGTGAGAAAATGGCATGGCAATTTAGGGTGTTTGTGATCTTTCCAGTTGACAAAAGTTCAAAGGGAAAGGTTGGTAGATATAAGGTAGTGGAAGGTGTTTTATGTGAGAGTAGGTTTATTTCTCCTTTTCCCAAGACTAAAACATTTTTTCCATTTGCAACAGACACATGTGAGGGACTTGAAAAACGTTTAAAATGATGCAAATTTGTGACTTTGTTTGTCATATGATTTGTGGCTCCTGAATCAATTACCCAACAATCATTTTCAATACTAGTTAATAGGGCAGTAGTGAAGGCTTTAAGTATACCTGGTGCTTCATCCCTTGAAACTTTCTCATTTCTAGCTAGAAAGCTGGCAAACTGTCCCAACATGGCTGTGTGACTGCTCTCATCATTGCCTTGAGCTTGTGAACTTCCTTCGTGTCCCTTACTAAGGTAAGCTGCAAACTCATTAATAAGTGACAATGGATTGGCAATGAACTCCATGGATCCTTATGAGATAGTAGAAGGATGAGCATTCGCAAGTTGAGCCTTGTAATGAGGTTGAAATTGCTGTGAGGATCTTGGTATCATTTTTCCATCTTTGCTAAACTTAGGCTTGAGTTCAGGATGAAGTGCCCAACACTTGTCTTCCACATGGCCAACGCCATTGCAATATTTGCATTTCAAGTGTGTATTTCTACCCTTGTACATGTTAACTTCTGAGGTCTTGTTGTTTGAGGCATATGCACGAGTTTCAGTCAATCTCGAGTTGTGCTCAGTATTCATCACTTTCTTTCTTGCTTCCTCACGTTGGATAGTTGCACATACATTGTTGAACAATGGAAGCTCTTAACTCATCAAGATGTGACTCCTTAGATCTTCGTAGTCGGAGTTCAAACTCCCCAACAACTGGTAGATTCTGTCTTCCTCGGCTCATTTTAGGAGCATGGTAGGATCTGTGGTATGTGAAAGGTATACATCCAACTCATTCCACATGGCCTTGAGGCTTCCAAAGTGTTAAACAAATGCTTTCCCTTCTTGTTGAGCACTTGCAATGTCCTTCTTAAGTTGAAAGACACGAGCATAGTTTTTTTTATTTCCATACATATCCTGCAAGGCTTTCCAAAGCTCACATGAAGAATTGTAGTAGCTAAAAATCTCAGCAACATGTTTCTCCATGGTGTTGAGCAGCAAAGACATGACAAGTTGATCCTTGCAAAGCCATGCACCGTATGTAGAAGAGGAGCTGTCTAGAGCTTCCACCCTTCCATTGACAAACCCTAATTTCCCTTTGCCTCCGAGAGCTAGTGACACAGCTCGAGACCAAGGGAGATAATTGAACTTGTTCAAGAGAACTGAACACAAACGTTGATTGGTGTTAACCTCAATGTCTAAGAAATTTGGAAGAGAGCTATGCGAGATGTCATCCTCAATATTTACTGAATCTTCTTTAGCCATGGCTTAAGGTTGAAGGAAAGATGCATCGAAAAAAAATGGCCAAGTACAAGTTACAAAACCTGCTCTGATACCATGTGGTAATTTTGGTTTAAAGCTTCCATGTGTATTTCATGATGATTATTCAATGTACAAGAGACCGGCTATAAAAGAGAAGAGATAGGAATGAGAGATGGGAGAGATGGCTGCTGCAAGCAGTCGACAAGAAGGAAGAAGGCATGGTGTCTACCTAATCTAAACCATACACAAAGACTTTAACACCAACCGGTCACCTCCCTTAATTCAAGGGAAAACTGATTTACAATAATTCATTGAGCCTTACCCTAGAGATCACCCTTGGTAGCTGACTTTAGAGGCTGGGAAAGAACACTTCAACAACAGGGGTATAGTACTAAATATCAATCCAACTCTTATCACATGACTGGATAGGTTATATTAGGTAAAGTCTTCAAATAAACATAGGTCATATAGGAAAATTGTTGTAGTACTAAAATACAGTCACATCGATATAACCAATCTACACATCACATTAGATGGATGGATGACAATGTTATCCTTTAGGATATAGTTGATTACCCATTATTGCATGATTGAATTGATATGCCACATAAATTCTCTCCAAATAACCATTAATAATTATTCTTCTTCTATTTCTATCTAGTTTAGAGGTGGCAATCTAGGTTTTATCAAGAAGAAGCCCCAATAAAAGACAATATGTTAGGCAAATAACCCTACTAATTCATCCAATACGAAAGGCATGCTACTATTGGCTTCATGAATTTTGAAGTAGAAATAAATAAAAGCATAGAAAAAAAAAAAGGGTATAGGAAGATGGGGTACCTTTTTGTGGATGGGATTAATGTTTTTTCTCCCACGTCCCAAGTGGGTTTTCGTACCGTTAGCCGCCACTAAAAACATGCAAAAGCCATCTCATTCTCGACCCAACTTCCCCTTCCCCATGTGCCCATTCACAACACACACCATAACCCTACATCTTTATGTTTTCCTTTTACCCATCATCCTCCCAATAATATCAAAAATGCCACTGCTTCAGTTCCTTCCTCCTACCCCTCGATTTGTATTCACTCTATTTTCTCCCCCAAAGAGGAAGGCCGTTTTGGGCAATTCATCAAGTCTGATGATTACTTGTGAGGGTTGAAGCTGGATAAGGCAGGTTTATTATTAGAGCTTCAAAATTTTGTGCTCTCATTATTGCAGAATCATGGTTTCCTTTTTTCCTTATATATACAAAGAAAGTTTGAATAATAGGTCAAAAGGAAACAAAAATGTACTGAAAATACCGTACGTGCTAGTGTGCTATGAGCCTATAGGGTTTTTGCTTAACTACAGTAAAATTGTAGCAGCTCTCTCTCTCTCTCTCTCTCTCTCTCTCTCTCTCTTTCTCTCTCCCTCTCTTTCTCCCTCCCTCCCTCCCTCCCTCCCTCCCTCCCTCCTATCATTTGCTTTACTATAAGATGGAGGTGGAGTACTGAACATGATAAAGCTTCCACTGTAACGTACTGCCGTGGTGGATATCGAATCTGGCGGGGAGAGTACTGCACCCACCACCAGCACCACTGCCAACATGTCCTCTAAGAAGAAGGAGCTTCTTTCTTCTGCCTTGAAGAGAACCAGTGAATGGTTTGGTCCCATCTTTTTCTCTCTCTTTAATTGCTTCTCTGGAGGTTTTGTTATTTTATTTGTTTCTGTTTTTGGTACAAGCAATGTTTCGGGAGAGGAATTCCAACGTAGAACCTAGGATCCAAAGATAAACGCTTTCTGCGAATGAGATACTTTTCTCTCTCTCGTAGATGATTTCTCCTAAAATATAGGTATAAACAATAATGGATGTATCTTGAAACTTGCAGGATTTTTTCGCAGGAGATTCCGAGCGATATTAGTATTAATGTTGGAGGAGTTTCCTTCTCATTGCACAAGGTAATTTGTAGTGTTGATTCACGTATCAAATTATGCGACCAGTAGCACTAACAACAATTATTTGGTTCATATTAAAATTATTGTGACTAAGTGTTTTTTTTTAATATACGGCTGAACTAAACAAACTTGGAGAGGCTAACAAATTATTGGATTGAAACATGACTTATTAAAATTGCAGTTCCCTTTAATTTAAAAATGTGGCCACATAAAGAAACTGATATCAGAATCTAGTTATGCTGCTGATCTATCTGTTATTGAGCTATCTGATGTTCCGGGTGGATCAGAAGCGTTTGAGCTTGCAGCAAGATTCTGTTATGGAATAAATTTCGAGTTAAGCACAGGAAACATCGCAATGCTGCGATGCGTGGCTGAGTATCTTCTGATGACTGAGGACTACGCGGTTGGAAACCTTGTGGGAAGAGCTGATGCATACTTGAATGAAGTGGCATTGAAAAGCCTAGCAGGTGCAGTTACTGTTTTGCACATGTCAGAAAATTTCCTCCCAATGGCGGAGAAGGTAAAATTAGTGAGCCGGTGCATAGATGCAATTGCTTTTATGGCCTGCAAAGAGGGCCAGTTCAGTGTGTCCGGTAGGACTGATGGTGGCATTGAGGGTGCGGTTTTTTCAGCTGTGTCTCATCCAAAGCCTGTTGTGGATTGGTGGGCTGAAGACTTAACTGTTCTTAGAATTGATATCTTCCAACGCGTTATGATTGCAATGTTGGCAAGAGGGTTTAAGCAGTATGCTCTTGGACCAGTGCTCATGCTATATGCACAGAAATCGCTACGAGGTTTGGTGAGATCTCACTCCACAATGTCATATTTTTCAGTTTTATAGCTCAAGTCTTGACATAAAAATCTTCTTTTGGCATAGGAAATATTTGGAAAGGGGAGGACGAAAATCGAGCTGCGACAAGAGCACGAGAAGAGGGTTGTCTTAGAAACAATTGTGAGTCTTCTGCCAAGGGAGAAAAATGCAATGTCAGTCAGCTTTCTTTCCATGCTTCTTCGTGCTGCGAAAACCCTTGAAACAACGGTTGCTTGCCAGCTAGATTTGGAGAAGAGAATGGGGTTGCAGTTGGCACAGGCTGTTTTAGATGATCTCTTGATTCCATCATATTCCCTTACCGGGGACACATTGCTTGATGTGGAGACTGTGCAAAGGATCATGACGAATTACCTTGAATATGAAACGGAGGGGAGCCGTTTGGGATACAATGCAGAGGACGATTTTGTTTCTCCTGCACTAACAGACATGGAACGCGTTGGAAAGCTAATGGAGAACTACCTGGCTGAAATAGCCACTGACCGCAACATATCTGTCTCTAAGTTCATTGGCATTGCTGAACTTATTCCAGAACAATCAAGGGCAACAGAAGATGGCATGTATAGAGCCATTGATATCTACCTAAAGGTGCACGTTCTTGTGTATAACTTTCTTAACATTGAATCATATGTATTTGCAACGGTTATATAGGCTTTTTATGCAGGGTAGTAACTTTGGCAGCCCCCTTTTCTCCGCCTGCACCTCTCCCTTTTTAATCTAGCCTTTAAATTGTATAAATCAAAGCAGAATGAAAGGAGAGAAACAAGTCAAAGGAGTGAAGAATGAGAAAACGCATGTGAAAATCTCTACCCTTCTGTTTTTAGCCACACACGAAATTTGTCATGGGATCAAAACCTCTCAGCTGAATTTAAATGTCATTTTCTTAATTAAATTTTTTACTTTAGTTCACTTAACTTTAAATATTTCACAGGCTCATCCTGCTCTAAGTGATATGGAGAGAAAGAAAGTGTGCAGTATGATGGACTGCCAGACGCTTTCACGAGAGGCCTGCACTCACGCTGCACAGAATGACCGCCTTCCTGTTCACACTGTGGTCCAAGTGCTATACTATGAGCAGCAGCGCCTTCGAGATGTAATGAATGGCAACATAGGTGGTGAATCCTCTGTTCTTCCTTCCAAAGGGAGCGTACACTCCACTGATATCCACACGGTTCCTGATGAGCTCACCATCTTGCGTAGACAAAATGCGGAGCTAAAAATAGAGTTGGTGAAGATGAAGATGAAGCTGAAAGAACTCGAAACGTCTACTATGAGAACAGCAATGAGCAGTCCAATGGGAAACACTCCAATATCTGCTGACAAACCTCCTCTGCCTCGAAAATCATTTATGAACTTGGTGTCGAAAAGACTTGGGAAGCTTTCTCCCTTTGTGCGTGCAGATGGAGTGACACCTACTGGTACCAAAGGCCGGACCAAACCTTCCAAAGATCGGCGGCATTCAATTTCCTGAAGCATCGGTGTGTTGCTGAGCTCTATAATGCTCTGTGAGAAACATAAATCCCAATGCCTTTGCTTTGTTTCTGAGGCTTGAGAAAATTTGTGGCTTGAATCTCTAATTGTTGCATCTTTCTTGTGCTTTGTGTGAAGTCATTGTAAATAACATTGCCATACTGCTTTGAATAAGATTACATGATTCGAAGGCGCATTGAGTATAAAACTGGAGAGGCAGAGTATAATCTTTTTCAGTTTTACTTTCTAGCAAAAACTGCTAGTAATGCGCTTGGTTTGAAGTATTGACAATATATGTGTATGTATGAATGTGGTAAATTTTAATTGCTATATCCATGTAATCTCCAACTAGTTTCGTGCATTTTGTCATCAAGAAAGAGATTAAAGAAAGAAATAGAAAAGGCGTAGATTCTTATAACGTGTTTACTTATCTAGAATCAGTATTGAACGGCAATGGTGTGTTGGCAAAACTCGTTTTGAGCTTACATACCGTATTACTAAAGAGGGCGTCAACTAGGCAAAAGATTAAGCGTACATCATTCCAACTAATTTTAGTATAGAAAGACATCTTATTTGTTTACATCCTCTAATTTATGGTGAACTCGGGATTTTCACACTTTTTTCTTTTTCTGCTCACTCTTGTTTACTTTTGTCCTTTAATTATTACTTGATTTGTTCAATCTAAAGGTCAAAAATCAATAGGGGGTGTAAAATGAGTAAAAAAGTGTGAGAATCACTCCCTTGGTTTATAAGGCATTCATTGCAATCTGTAATCCAATACATGAAAAACCAAGAATCTGGCTCATGCCAATTTATAATTGACTCGTTCGTAATAAGTAAACATACAGTAATTTTTAACCTCCAAAAAGTATAGTCCACATCCACATGCATCTTTCTGTTTCTCTTTGTAATGAAAGTTGGTTCAAGTCCTAAGCGATGAGTAATGGTCCAACCAGGACCCTGTCCTCAAACCAAAAAACTAGACCTTCTGTACCAGACCATTGCCGTATGTGGGGTCCGTCCTCAAATTATTAAAACCCTTTGTGATAAAGAGCCTTTGAAAAAGTTAAAGAATAGCTAGACAGACAGACTAGCAGTGCAGCATGTTGATAATGTCGGAGGTAAATTTATCATGGAACCCCAAGTGAAGAGATGCTTTCTGTTATATGTGACTCCGTAAAAAGGACTCATAAAAGTTTGACGTTATTGTTTACTTTGAGTTTTTGTGAATTGAAGGCCTTAATTATCTTATCTTTGATGAACGGAGGTGGGATGATTCAAACTCGGGAATGTATGAGTCATTGAGAATTAGCTAGTTCATTGTAAGACTTAGTCCCCCTCCCCCACTCTCTCTCCCCGCCCCAGGTTCCTTCCTCAACAACCCTTAGCGTAAATAAAATCGTTTGTTTAAAAAAAAAAAAAATTGATTAAATTACTTTAGTTGCTGATAATTTGATGCAAACTAGGTTTTTATACCTCTGATGAAATTAGCACTCAGAGAAGTCAGACTTTATCACCTCAGTAGCATAGAACTTTAGACTCCTCAGATTTCCACTTTCTCCCACAATTATAACCATTATTTTTTTCAAATTGTGATGCTGATCAGGTGCAATGCAACCGGCCAGATGAAAAGTCACCAGGAGAGAAAAAAAATCTACATTTGGTCTCTTCTTATCCTAATCATGGATAACAGTTAGCTGCATGGTACAGTTAACTGTATGCTCAAGTACATCCCCCTTTAGAATCCTTCCATCACCAGTTACTCCGTATGTTAATAAACTTAGAGAAAATCAGTAATCGAAATAATTCCAATACTTATTTCAGGTATCTAAACGTGCCATTACTCCCTTTTCGACAATGTTACTAGAAAACATTTGAGCTTGCGTCTAGACTTTACAGGATGTTTGGTTACACATGGAAACATTGATAAGGTTTGACAAGACAATCTCCTTTTGTCAGCAAACTGTAAGCTACATGTTTATCACGTGTTCAAAACATGCACGCTTATTCAATAGACGCTTGCTACGTGGAAAATTAGTGATAAGAAACTCTCTCTTGGTCAAAGCGATTACAGCAAAGTCTTGAGTGAGTAGAATCGGGAGTATATCTCTCTTTCTTTATTTGTTTCGTAACGTAATGTCCTTTTACACGGTAGAATACTTAGTGGCTACACATCTCCTTTCATCATATTCATTACATTTCTTTGTAAAAGTGAACAAGGAAATAAAGCAATGGAGGCAAATGATGATCTTTATACAAACTCCACCCATCACGCTACAAAATTAACCGGCTAATTAGAATCCCACCCAAACATCATCAATCACATATTAGTCAACAAGTAAGAAGAAGAGGTCTAAAAATCATATCATATCCATATCAAATCAAGTCATGTTCAAGCTCAAAACTTGGAAAAGCCAAGGAGGCAGTTTTAGCCTCTCATCCTGTCTCAACTGTTCTTCTCCACCATTAACATTGCTGCTGCTGATTTTACTCCCTCCACTTCTTCTGTACCCTCCTGATGCCATGTCAGCAGGCAGCAGCTGCCCATGTATAGTACTTTGATTGGTCCTCCTGGAGAAACTACTTTTCCTGTTTATTGTATGGCTTGATCCAGTAGAACAAGAAGATGAGAAACTACTTGGACCTGCTGAATCTGATAGTGTTAGTGCTGCTGCCTCTCCTCCTCTCTTCCTTCTGTTGCTGCTGCTGCTTCTGTTGCTGTTGTTGCTGTTGCTGTTGTATCTGGTGGGGCCTAGAGTCAACTCAATCTCAGTCTCATCTATGATCTCTAGCACCCCATCATCTCCTTCTGTGTCTGCAATGTACTCTCCTGCTCCTGCTCCTGCTGCAGGCTGTTCTAAATCTAGTTTCCTTTGTGGGTTAAATTGTGCCTCTTGGTTGTGATGATAATTTAAATCCCAACTCTCTTGTTTCTGTACATTGGGCCTTCTTTTTCCAATGGAGCTTTTCATCAATATCTTCTGCAAATGATATAGCCTATGAAGTTCATATACCTGCAGCACTAACTCAAGTTTAGAAACAAGCTAATAAAAGAAAGAAGTGAATAGGCTAGAATAGAATTATGGAAGTCGATGGGCCTTTAGACTGAACAAATCAAAGCAGAATGAAGGGACCAAAGGGGAGGAGTGCAAAAGGAGAAAGCGGAACTGGAAAATCACTACCGTGGAATTATTACCTGCTCTTTGAAAGTTTCTTCGTGCTTTAAAATGGCCATCCTCATGTACTCCTTATCATATGGCTTTAGAAGCTTCTCCATACGTAGAAGCTTTATTTGGCAACCTTCTACAAGAATATATCCTGAATTTTGAAGGTCTGACCCTTTTGTGCTGAAATATGAATATCTGCCAAATGAAGAAAAAAAAGCAGAAAATGTATTTAGATAGGAAGGAATGAATAATGTCCTAGAAATATGATGGTTTGTATTATGCATAGAAACAAAGAGAGCACTTGCTATGATGAGTTTCAAACACCAATACAAATGGATTATATCAGCAAACTGCTTTTTGTATAATTTGTCTGCTTCTTTTTCCACTTCTTGCTTCAGCCAATTTTGGACCACAACAGAAATATCTTCCAGCTTCAAAGGGCCTCACTTATATCAGCAGCACAGAACTACTACTACCCTATCATGTATGCCTAATTAATTCTTTGTAAATTATTTTATGCTGCTTCTGATTTTTCTCAGCTACCTACTGTTGAATTTTGTCTTGTTTTTTGCTCATTTCATTTAAGTGGTAATTAAACATTATTTTTCTGTTCAAGTTACCTACTTCCCAAAATCCCAGATGATGACATCACAACAATATACAGTTGCAAATGGTAATTGCTGGTAATTAAAATAGAAATAGCTTCTGTTTTCTTTTACATTTGAGGAAAAGAAAATTCTAGCGTGACATTCTTTATAGTTTTCAAAAAAGTGTAGTAATTTTTACATTCTTGTTTTCTCTTTCTGCGGTCTTTTTTTCTTCTTGTTTTTGTCTATTGATTCTTCTTTTATTTATTCAATCATATCGCTAGAAATGAATGAATGTTGAAGAAGAAAAAGAGAGTCCGAAGGTCACCTCTCTTGAATAAAGATCAATTACCCAATTTTTGTATCGGTTTGTCTTATTTGTTAAATTTAATTGTCAGTTTGAGTAAAAAATAAAATGCTCTTCCTTATGCAGTGAAATATACTCACTTTCTCCTAAGGAAAATAGCTACAAAAAATATCTTTCAAGTGATTACATCATCTACTTGTGAGATAATTCAAATTATAAATTTAAAGAACTAAAAGTTATGAACTGCAAACTGAATTACTCTTAAAATTCATGCAACATATGAAAACCAGCCTCCAAAGTAAACTTGTTTGCATTCCAAATAATTTTTTCTTTGATTCGAGTGATAGTCTAGACTAAATTAATCTAAATTACACGAAGGATGACACTGTTTTAACTAACTTGAATAACACGGTCCTCAGCACTCCAAACAATATCAAAAACCCAATTGCATGACTTTGCAATAACAGTAAAACATAAAGACAATGAACAAATCTATATGACTGAGAGTGATCAAGTTTGAATTTCTGACCTGCAGGCTGCAGAAAGAGGTACTCAAGAGCTGGGGAGATTAACTACAACTTGTGTTCTTTTGAAGAAAAAGCAAAAGCCAACAGAAAGAGAAGCACTGTTTCAAAGAAAGGGAAAAAGCTCTTCAAACACACTAATTATCTACAGCAGCAAGGCTTAGCTTCTGTTTGGTAGAATATGAACTTGCCTTCACATTCCCCATCAGTATATACTACAACTGCAAGTACATTTGGAAAAATTAAAAAAGAATTAATTTGAAGAATTTAAGAATCTCTCTTTCACACACAGAAATCAAAGTGCTGCTGTTGCGCTTAGGTTTTGAGGCGTGCCCAACAAATCCCAGTGCCCTTAGCCAATGTTGTGAAAGAGATGCCTCCCCAGACAAGTCCAGCAACGCAAAAAGTATTTAATTGAAATATATAGTCAAGAGATACCGATGAGTTTGTATTTTATCTAATCACAAGAGATTAATTAGTTTTATAATTATTAAGGATCCGAAACTAGGTACATTGCTCAACTCAAAGACAATCATTAGAATAACAGCTTAAACCTATAACACGAGAGATTTTTCAATGTGATCGGCACACGAGGTGGTACACCACGTGTCACTATACAAATGATGGATATGCGTGTTAAAAAATTAATAACTTAAAAAATAAAATTTCCCACATCTTATATAAAAACACGTGATGTATCATTCGTATTCCCGTCACAAATAATTCTTGGAAGATTAAATTTATAGACAAATTTTACAAACTAAATAATGTATTCCAAATAAAAATGAATACGTTTATCAACGCTTGAGTTATAACCAATTATCAATTTTCATTTCATTTAGTTTTCAAAATTTTATCTACAAATTTAGTCTCTCTAACATTATCTCTTTTAGAAATAAATAGTGTTAAAAAAACTAATTTAGCTAATCAAGTTAATTTATCATATCCCTATAATATTTTATTATTTACCAATTCTATCCTTTCTATAATTTATTATTAACCAACTTTACCCAAAAAAAAAAAGCCACTTTCTAGGACCCAGCGATTCTTTCCATCCATCATCCTCTTCTGTGTCATTTTTTTTTCTTTCACTTCGTTCTTTCCGCCAACACTCTCTCTCTCCTCCTCTGCTCTCTGTTTCTTCCCGTCTCTCATCGCACCTAAAAGCAACGGAGACACAATATTGTCAGCAAAGAAAGTTATTAACATTGTAAACTATTGGTTGTTGAGAGTATGAATCTCAAAACGAGAAAAAGAGGAACATTATATGTGTTTATAAATAATCAAGTTATTTTCTTTATTACCAAATAATTTTATGATGAAATTTTAACTTTTTTTATGACATCAGAGTACGTTGTCTTACGGCTACACGCACTTCACTTTACCCAATTTTCCATACGGAAGGGAGTGTGTTGAAAGTATAAATCTCACATCAGGGAGAGAAGAGACATTGCATGTACTTATAAGTAATTTGGCTACTCCATATTAATAATTGATTTTATGCTAGAATCTCAATTTTCTTCACTAGTAAGAGTTTTTCCTTTTGTATAAGTTTCATGAATTTATTTTTATTTTATTAAGAAAAATTAGAAAATTTGCATGTTGTCCTTAAATTGCTTCATAACCCTGTTCTCTTTATTTTTCTTTCATTCTCCATCTTTGGGGTATATGATAATCATTTGGTGAAAAGGTGGTGGACTAAGAAAAGCTCAGATCTCATTGATTGTGTGACGGACAGAATTCAAGGATCCGACTTTTTGACGCTCCGTCGCTAGATCTCATCGCACCACCATCTGGTCACGTTGCCGAATGGAACGAACTTTCAAGTTGGAGGAGAAGCGTACTGTACAAATTCATTATTTAAAGTTTTGCGCTTGTGATTTTCTCTCTTCTCCTCGCTAAATCTAGCGAGAAACTGTTCATTTTGCCATTTTAGCCAGTCAGATAGCTAGTCTGTTGAACTTGGTGTTTGCTTAGTTTTGCTACATTTTTCGTTAAATAACCAAAAGCCACTCTTTTAGCTAGTTTCTTGGAGATGCTCTTATGTGTGCTAATCCTATAATTTGTACACTAGTACAAGGCAAGTTAATATGAAAATGAGAAGAGTATTGTGGAATGGCATGGCCCGCCGACAATTAGATCATGATCGTACAATAAGTGTATCTTAGAAATATACCATCAAAGAAACCCGTATAAAGAAGTTCTTATCCAAAAATTTATCTTAGAATGAACAGAAGATATCAATCAAATCCAAAACAAACTTACATAGAAGCCTTTTTTTTTCTTCTTTTTTTTTTACAAAAGCATTAATTTAAAACGAAGCCTCAGAAACATCCGAAACTCCTAGAGTCAAACAATGAAGCATTATTAGCTTGAGGAGGGATCATCCCGTCCCAATACACATAATACATACTAACATGGTGGCCTAAGGAAGTTATAGCAGTACCCGTGAAATTCGCTTTAAAAACATGGTTTCACCCCACTAAATCGATGGAAGAAGCAAACCATTTGATATCTTATATATTTGTTTTGCTCCTTCCAAGTCGATGCACATCTTCTAGTAATTGTATCAATGACAAACATTGAGTCCCCTTCGACTATAATTTTCCAGATGTTTCATTGTCTGGCAGAAAGAAGAGCATCACTCGGTATAATAGTGAATGCTATTTGTTCTAATGACACGTGATCTATTTTATTAGAGTTCAAATTTTACAAATGGAAACCATTATTTTTTTCAAAAATTAAACATTAGGTTGAATAATGTATGAGGATATAGTCATCATCTATTGTATAAGAACATAACAAGCCACATCATTTATCATTATATATGCACAAAGTATGTGTAGATGCCCAATAATTAATGAGATACGATTATATTATTATATAAGAATCGTTCTAAATGAGAACCATATTCAATGATGGCATCCATACTAAAATTTTAAATTATGCATGATGAGTAATATATAATGCTCAACAAATTTCTCAAAATGAGTCATAAAAAGTTGTTTATATATAGTATTGCACAAAGTAAGACAATAAGTGCTATGATTAATCGCATTATATGTGTCTTAAGCTGAGTTTGGTTATTTATGTTTATGAGGTTTCTCACAAATGGTAGCAAGGGCTATCGCCCACGCACGACCAATTCTATCATTCACGTCCCTCAAATACTAGTGAAAATCAGCTCATGCAGGATTGATTTTAGTATTTGCAATAAGCAAATCCTGACTCTAATAATTATGAAGAAAGTTGAAGTTTTGTTATATATTGGGATGTGATATCCACACACATTTTTTTACTTCTCTCACACATTTTTAATTTTCGGCCGTCGGATCGGATGAATTGAAGAAGATCAAAGGACAAAAATTAACAAGAGATGTAGGAGAAGTACACACACCCCTAAAATTAATTAACAGATAATGAGTAACTCAACTTATACATTTATAAAATAAAACATCCTTCTTTCTTATATTTTGAAATTCATTCTCAACAAATTATAGTTGTTTGTTTGACATGTAAGTGGGGGTGTTACAAAATCAAACCGTCTAGATAAGTGGACCCATATAGTGAATATATGCAATGACTTAAAAGCACACGAAAATTTGATGGCAAAAACAGATGTATAACTCATAAATAATATATATATATATATGTATATGTATATGTATGTATGTATGTATCGGGTTTCTAATTGGTGGAGTGGGTTTAGGTTTTGTCATTTGCTGAATAATATTCTTCTCATTTATGTTTGTAGATATACCATATGTATTTCTGGTTTTCAATCATGGCCGTGAAATTAGAAGGTGTATTTACACATTTATTATTATCTTTTATATTAGTTAATTTTTTATTAATTCATTCAAAACTATTAAAAGTTAAAAAAATATATAAAAAGTTAAAATAGCGGCAAACATGAACATTATGAAAGATAAAAGGAATGGGTGGAATATGTATTTGGATCTCGTTGCATCGTGATTCATCATGCATGTTAAGTAAGATCAAAATAATAATAATTCTATACAAATTATACAAATAAAATAAAAGGTGGGGCGCGATCAAATCGATCGTCTGTGAAAGTCGTGTTTATATGAATAATATGTGGTGCTGAGTTTCGTGATCTCCAGGTATATTATACTTTTTCTTTCTCGGTATGATCTCGTGACGTATTATTTTAATTATTTTCTTGTTTATTTTATATAAGATGAGAGAGAGAGTGGGAGGGGACGGAGAGAGAGGAGTTGGTGGGTCGACACGAAAGCACGCGTTGCCGGTGCAAGGAGGTGCAGTCGTATGGGGTGGTGGGTCCATTGGGGTTGCTGAAAAAGCCTGAGCCACGCCCTTGCGCTGTTCTTTGGTCCCACGTACCCACGCCCGCTTGATTCCTACACAAATCAGAAAACTGTGCAACTTGCCAGCCATCATTTCTAATTCATGGCTTGAGAAAACTCTGCTTCTGGAATTCATGCAGTTTTTCGTTCATGAGGAAGGAGGGAGGGTGAAGAGGAGAAAGAAAAGGGGAGAGAGTGAAATTTTACAGGTCTTTCATCGAGAAGAAGAAAGGATGCGGAAGGAGGAGAGGGATAGAGAAAATTAAAATTAATTGTATTTGGTAGTGGGACCCAGAATAAAGTTAATTGAGGAAGTGTAATTTAATTTTAGATGTTCTCTAATGTATATGCTATATATGATTCTTTGTTTTTTAATTATTTTTTTTAACAGCAAATAAAGAAGGAGTTAAATATATTTAATTAAATATTTTAATACATGGGTCTCATTAACAATTAATAGAATAAAAACTACAATTATTTTTATTATTTTTATAATAGTTAATGTAACTCTAGGTTCAATAAAATAATAAAATAAAAATTTGACACATCCATTTGAAAGAAGAGAATTTAATACTTGTATTTAATTTGTCACATCAACCATCAAATAAAATTTTGACATATTATATTTAACACCTCATTTGAAGATGCTCTTAA